GGATCCAGAGATTGATCATACAGGCCGAGCGGGTAATTGGGCTCACCGTGCTCCTCCCGCAACCCGCTTGGGATCTTCGGTGTGCATGGCGGACCTGGACCTCTCCGACCCCCGTCTGAGAGCCCTGGGCTTCGGGGGACTTGGCTCGGGGGGGCGCGGCCCCGTGGGCCGCGAGGTGGGCCTTGGGGACTGCGTCTACAACTTTGCCGCCCCGGAGTTGGCCAGCTAGGATCGCTTCGGCGCTGCCGAGCTGGAGGGCGCGGGCCGCCTGCCCGACGCAATCTGGGACGACGCCAAGTGGGCGGAGACCCGGGTCACGGTCGGCGGGGTGCCCTACCCCTGCATGGGCGCGGCGTGCACGGGCCGTTCTTGGGCCCTCCATTTTGCCAGCGAGGCCGCGACGCACCGCGTGCAAAACGCACTGCCCGACGGGTCGGACCAGCTGGCGAGGGAGATGCGGCCTGCGCTGATCTTGATGCCTGGCATGCGCGCTGCTGGCGTTTACGTGGACAACGCGCAGGGGATCGGAGGCTGCGAGGCCGATGCTGATCGAAGCTCAGATGCGAGAAACCCAGAACAGTTCACATAAAGACCGGTTTCCTTTATGACGTGGAGCCCGGGTGCAATCTTGAGATGCAGCCTTTCGGCCTGGCGCATCATTAGCGCGAGCGCCGGCTCCGGCGCGTGCCCCGGCGAGCCTGGCGAACGCACTTGGCAGGGCTGCCCCGCTTGCAGCGTCGCAAACTCCACAGGCGTGCCCTCCAGTGCTGGCTCGGACACGTCGCGAAGCTGAACCAGTTGTGCCCCGAGGCCATGTCCGCCGTGAGCGCTTGCTAGCGCTTTGCCGAGGAGGCTCTGGAGATGCCCGAGCGTGCGCGGCCTTCGGCGGCGTCCGAGATCCGCTGCGCCATGAACCTTCTCTTCTTGATGGAGGCGGACCTGGGCGCGAGCTACTCCGACTATGTTTACTGCGGCGACTCGCCCGCCCGCGGCTGCGCCCTCCACGTCGCCAAGGCCCGGCTGGAGAAGCTCCGCGAGGCCCGGAGGTGGCGCGAGCGCTGGCGGTGCCGGGGCGCCCCGACCGTGGAGGGCCAGGTCAGCGAGGGCCTGGGCTACGCGCGGGGGGGCGCGCCGGGGCTGGCGACGGGGCCGAGCACGGCTTCCGGGCAGGCTCTGCTTCTTCGCCAGGCGGCGGAGCAGCCAGCTCGGGCCGCCGCGCGGCCCCCCGAGCGGCCGCGGGCCAGGGTGTGTCCCTCGACTCGGGCACCCCAGCCTTGGGCGACGGCTGGACCGTCGGGCGGCGGTGCCGCCGGGTCGCCGCCGACCGCTGGAGCTTGCAGGAGGAGCGCATCAACCTGAAGGCGGGGCGCGGGGCGTTGATGGGCTTGCGGCGGCATTGTCGGTCGGTGAAGGACATGGGCGCCGAGCTGCTCGCGATCCGCGACAGCCTGGTCACCGTGTGAGCCTTTGAGATGGGCCAGTCCAGCGCCGGCCTACAGTCTTTGCAGGCGCGCTGCGGCCTAACGACTGGGCGGGCAGATCGCCTAGAGGCTGCGGCGCGTCGAGACAGACCGCAACCCGAGCGACAAGGACTCGCGGCAGCGGGGCGAGGTGCCGAGGGCCTGCCAGCCCACCGTGTCCGAGGGCCGTCAGCCGGGCCCGCTGCGAGGGCGGCAGGCCGGGCCCATGAGCCCGAGGCCCGTCGCGGTTCCAGAGACGCCAGCAGCCAGCGGGGATCCGCAACGCACCTTCGCCACGTCCTCCTCCTGCTCGTCGCCGTCGGCGCATCTGTCAGTGGGTCGCGGATCTTCCACATCTGTTGCTCGCCCACTAATTCGGAGCTAGCCAGGTAAACCAGTTTTTCGTTCGGAGCTCTTCGGTGGGATGGGGAAGCTGACTCAAGCCTGCCGCTTGGCAGGCATTCCGCAGGAGCGGAAAAACACACAGACACAATTAATCGTCGATTCCCTCGAAAATCTGGGAAAATATTGGAAGCGGGGGGGAAAGACAAAATCGCATAACATATGTGAAAATATGGGGGACATTTATTTGTGTGTATTTATTTGTGTGCCCCAGGGCCCCTTCAATTCCGTTTGCCGGCTCTGTTGATATCAATGATTGTTGGGGGTCAGGTTTTTTTTGTCGCAGAACTCGGGTTTCATTATGGACCTGGCTCGTGGGGGGCGCCTGTTGCATGTGGCCTGGGGGCGCCCTGCGCGATCTGGAGTATCGCTCGACGCGGGATTCGGAAGCATGCGCAGGCCAGAGCTAGAGGACGTCTGGAGACAGAGTTCGCGTTGATGAACGCTGCGCTATGCCGTGCACTTTCTCGCCGCGGGCGTTACTGGAGCTCGGGGAACCTTCGGGCGTCAAGGCTTCGGAGCTTCAACCCCATCTCCCGTCTCCGTGGGCCCCCGAACGTCATGCATATTAGCTTCGACATGAGCATGTGCGGCGCGGCGTATCGGAAGCCTGTTCGGATCCTCACGAACCTCGAGACTCTGCGGGCCTTGGGGGCTCGTTCTCGAATATCGGGTCGACGCTCTGTCATGCTGCACGGAGACCTCCGCCTCTCGCTGCTGCGTATCCATCGGCGTTGGGCCCATGCCAGGCCAGCCTTTTGGCCTCGGGACTCCGGAGAGTAAAGCGCTCGGGTCTGCAGGCCTTCGACCCGCGCGAGGTCCGCCATGGCCTCCGGCTTGCACTTTCCGGAAGAGCTCCGGCGGCAGGCGCTTGCTACGTTCAGCCGACAACTTCTCTTTAGTCAGGGGGATTTTGCGCAGCTGCTGGAGGATGAGGGCACCTTTCTCAGAGCGAGCCACCGATGCGGACGAAGCCCATCGGCCGCGCTTCTGGATGTCCTTCAGAGTCCTCCGGGAGTGCGCCTTGTCGTTCAAGGCCCCTGAGCGCCTGAACGCGCGCGGGCGCGCCCCGAGGGGCGCGTGGCCCAGGCGGGCCGCGCTCTCCTTTACCTCGCGCTCGTACTCGGCGAGGCTGAAGTCGAAGATCCGCTTGGAGTCGGCCGCCCTGGGCTTGCTCAGCAGGCTTGTGAGCCAAGGGCGGGCCGCGTCGCCGACCAGCAGGCCGTCGCCCTGGCCTCCCGTCCTCGTGATCTCGTGCCACTCGGAGGGCGTGATGACGATGCCATAATGCGCGCCGAGCTTCGCGGCCGGCGCCGGCGGCAAGGCCTGGCCCTGCCAGAGCTGCGCCACCGCGGAGGGCCGCGTGCACGCGTCCGTCCGGATCTCCACCGCGGCCGCCACCATGGGAAGATCGCGTCCACCAAGTCCAGCGCGAGGTCGTCCAGGATGATGTCGGGAAGCGGGGGCCGCGCCCAACCTGGCGACCTCTTCGCCCAACCCTTCAGGGCCGCCAATGCCTTGGGGAGGTCGATCTTGCCGACCGTCTTGAGCTTGAGCAGCTTGCAGCCGCAGGTGTCGCGGCCCTCCCAGACCCCGAAGGTGTAAGTCCACGAAATACAAGCAGAGGCTGTCGTCCAGCCGGCCCAGCGGCTGCAGGGCCAACCTCCTGGCCTTGGCGTCGGTCTCGAACTCGCGCGCGGCCTCCGCGCACCTCTCCAGGGTCCCGTTGGTGACCGTCGACATGATCAGCGATCCCTGCGCGGCGCGCGGATGGGGTCAACGCGTCTCGGTGCCATCGGCTGTCGTGGCGTCCCTCTGCCTGGCGGTCGCTGCCTGCCAGTGCGGGTGGGCCCTCCAGCACTTTGGCCGCTCGTCCTGACCGAACTGGGCGCGTCGGTGGCCTGGCAGCCGGGCCCGAGGGGCTCGCCGCCCGCGCGGCGTAGCGCCCCCCTTCCAGCCGTCGGCTGACGGCCCGCGACCCACCACGTGAGCATTCACCAGTTCATGATACGGGTACGGGTGCCAACATAATGGACTTTCGTTGTATCTCGATACGTGGCCAGACATCTTGATTGGAAAATTCTGTCATCTGTGAGCGATGCAAAACAGGTTTCCATGTATACCAGTAGCTTTGCTGGATATGCACGTCTGGGCAAGGTTCCTGGCCTAAGAGGGGTGTGTGTAGTCGTAGACGCGAATGCCCCTGATGCTTCTCCTCGCCCGACCTGCCACATTCTAAGCTGGCACTGCTTGCCTCACCGCTACCGCGGCGGCTCAAGTCCGCCCGCCCACGAATTCAGTTACCGCTGGGTGTCAACAGAGCCCCGATGCACGGAGCTCACGAATTCAGTTACCGCTGGGTGTCAACAACATGGACTTCTCGTTGTATCTCGATACTTGGCCAGAGATTTTGATGGGAAAATTTTGCCACGTGAGAGCGATGCAAAACAGGTTTCCATTTACATCAACAGCTTTGTTGGATATGCACGTCAGGGCGAGGTTGTTGGCCTAAGAGGGGCGCCCCCATATTGCTACTTGTCGGCCGTTGGAACTATGTAATTATGGTTGGACCTTCTGATTCCATTCTACTTTAGGCGCCTTCCTACTTCAACGATCGAGTGCGTCCCCGTTTTCCTTCCGCCTCAGGGGGCGGGCGGAAACCCAATCTACTTCCAACGCCTTCCTACTTCATGCTTCTACCCACCTCTTCCGACCGACGGGTACTCTTGCCGCCTCGGTTGGGCCTCCTTGGAATCTTTCGTTGCCACCGCTGGATTCGTCTCGGAATTTACGGCCAGAACACACCCTGGGAGAGGTGCGGGGAGCAGTGGTGTCGGGTATCGCTACATTGCGGGTTCCCCAGAGGAGGGAGGAGGAACAGTGCGAGAAGGGATGGTACTTTCCTGGGGCCCAACAAACGGATCTGTTTGACCCCATTTCGATTCAAGTTGAAGTCAAGTTCGACTCAAGTTCGACTCAAGTTTGACTCTGGTTCGACTCAGCTTGGACACGAGGTCGACTTGAATCGACCGACGTTCGATGCCGCTTCGACGCACGAGTGGAACGAGTGGTTCCAGGAAGGTCCCCAGGGGGGGTGGGGCCTAGTTCACTTGGTTCGAAAAAGCCCCAGGGGGGCAGGTCGTCGACGACAACGGCGACGACGAGCTCGACTTTGAAGAGCGCTGGCCCCAGCGCGCCCCTCCGCCTTCCCCTCTCCTCCTCGCTCTCTGTTCGGCCGGGGCCGGGCGAAGGGACCGATACATAACCCCATCGGCCGCTGACAGGAAGTAATTTCCGACTTCCAGATTCCATTCTACTTTAGGCGCCCCCTATTTCAAGTGTCGAGTGCTGCTCCCGTTTCCTTCTGGGAAACAAGGCTATTGGATGTTCGTTCGGATCTCGTGGGAGGCCTCTCGGGTCTCGGGGGTCTCTTGGAGGCAGTTTGAAGCCGATTGGGGGCCGTTTTGGTAGGCCCGGACGCTGTCCGCAACGGTGGTCGCATCGCATCGCATGGGGGCCGTTTTGGTGCCTGTTGGGGGCCTCTTGAGGCCTCTCAGGAGCCTCTTGGGGGCCTGTTGGGGGAATCTTGGGGTGTCTCGGGCGCCTCTTGGAGCCTCCTGAGATCCTCTTGGAGCGGAAGGCTTGGATTTTCAGTTCGTGTTCTCTCTCTTTGGTTCCTTTTGGGGCCGTCTTGGGGTCCTCGTGGGCCGTCTTGAGCGCCTCTTGGACAGTCTTTGGGCGCTCTTAGGCCGTCTTGGGACCCTCTTGGAGGCCTCTTGGATCGTTTTGTGGTGGTCTTGGGTGCCTCTTGGGCCAGCTTGGAGCGTCGGGAAGCTGAAATTGCGAGAACGCTAAAATCCTTCAAACAACTTTGGGACAAATAATAGTTTGTGTTGCCTCATGGGAGGCCTCTTTGAGGCCTGTCGGGGCGTCTTGGAGGCCTCTTGGGCCGTCTGGAGGCCATCTTGGGCGTCTTGGAGCGATCGTTCGGCGACCCGGGGCCCTCTTTCGTGGACCGTCGTGTGGGCTTCATGGGCCGTCATGTGCAGGGATGAACCCTGGCCAGTTTGCACTCGGGTAGTGCCGGCGATCGGAGGTGAGGGGGTGAGATCGAAGTGGAACGGAGAGCCCCCCTGCCGGGAAATCGATTTCGGTTTCGTGTTCGTGCGTGCCGTGCGGGCGAGGCGAAGCTGCGTGGGCGGGCGAGAGAAAGTCTCCTGTGGCTGAGGCGCGGCCGGACCAAATGATTCCCTTCCGGGCGGCCGGGGGCCCGCGGTGTCCCGCCGGTGTCCCGCTGGTGTCCCGTGTGGCTGAGGCGCGGCCGGACCAAATGATTCCCTTCCGGGCGGCCGGGGGCCCGCGGTGTCCCGCCGGTGTCCCGCTGGTGTCTCGTGTGGCTGAGGCGCGGCCGGACCAAATGATTCCCTTCCGGGCGGCCGGGGCCCCGCGGTGTCCCGCCAGTGTCCCGCTGGTGTCCCGTCGGTGTCCCGATGATGATGATGATGATGATGATGATGATGATGATGATGATGATGATGATGATGATGATGATGATGATGATGATGATGATGATGAGGATGATGTTGATGATGATGATGATGATGATGATGATGATGATGATGATGATGATGATGATGATGATGATGGTGATGATGATGATGTTGTTGTGCTATTTTGATGATCGATTGTGAGTTCGATAGTGAGGTCGAATGTGAGATCGATAGTGATATCGATAGTAATATCGCTTGTGAGATCGAACGTGAGACCGAATGTCAGATCGATTGTGAGATCGACTGTGAGATCGATAGTGAGATCGATAGTGGTATCGGTAGTGAGATCGATTGTGAGACCGAATGGGAGATCGATTGTGCGATCGATTGTGATACCGATAGTGAGATCGTGAGACCGAATGTGAGATCGATTGTGGGATATTGTGAGATCGATTGTGAGATCGATAGCCAGATCGATTGTGAGATCGATCGATTGAGATCGATAATGAGATCGGTAGTGAGTTCGATTGTGAGATCGATGGTGAGACCGAATGTCAGATCGATTGTGAGATCGGTTGTGATATCGATAGTGAGTTCGATAGTGAGACCGAATGTGAGATCGATAATGAGATCGAAAGTGAGTTCGATAGTGAGATCGATAGTCAGACCGAATCCGAGATCGATTGTGAGATCGATTATGATATCGATAGTGAGATTGATCGTGAGACCGAATGAGAGATCGATAGAGAGATCGATAGTGAGTTTGATAGTGAGAACTAAAGTCAGATCGAATGTGATATCGGTTGTGAGCTCGATTGTGATATCGACAGTGAGATCAATAACGAGACCGAATGTGAGATCGATTGTGAGATCGATAGTCAGATCGATTGTGAGATCGATCGATTGAGATCGATTGTGAGATCTTAGTGAGTTCGATAGTGAGATCGATCGAGTGCGACGTTGGTCCCTCTCCCCCCCCCCCTCGCCTCCTTATCACCCGAAGGGTGGTCGTATAGGTATTTATCTAATAGAACAACAGTTCTCTGCAACAAATAAACATCTTGAACACGAATAGAATCAAGGATAATCGATGTCTCCAAGATGTTTGATCCGACTGAAATTCGACATCTCTCCAATACATTATCGGACCCTGGGAGAAGGGGGGATGCCGGTTACAGTCTGTGTCCTGCGGAGGGGGTTGGTTCCTTAAAAGATTGCAGGACCCCTGCCAGACAGCACTGGGCATTCTGGCACGCCGCAATGTGCTGCAGCCACGGTGGCGGACTACGTTCAGCGCCTTCCTCTGTCATGTTTCGTTCCCTTGAAATTGTTTCGATGTGTACATTGCTCCTCGGCGAGGGCAATCGAGGAGCATCCTGGATCGTCGGGCAAAGGAAGCGCACACGACACCGGCAAAAGCACGGGGACTGGACGTCTGAGCGACGGCGAGGTCCACGTCTGCCGAACGGCGGGCGCACCGCAGATCCCATCCTGTACCCAGGGACGGCGCACGCTCTCCTGGCATGGCCAGGGAAGCAGATCCAACGATCCCAGGCCCAGGCCGGGGCTCGAGCTGAACTTTCGTTTTATTTTCGTTTCGCAGCAAAGGCAGTCTGAGAACAGAACCCAGGCCCAGGAAACGGAAGACAAAACGAGAACAGGAAACACTGTTTAGCTCGATCCAGGGCCCAGGTTGTGGCCAGCCAGAGGCGGTGTACACCCAACATCCACAGTAAGGATGCGCTGCTTTCTCAAGGCTACCCTTGCATCCCGAGCCAATTTTGACGGCCGAGGAGTTGTAAATGTTAAGTGGGACTTCCAAGGGTCTCTTGCATCCTTACCTTGCGTCCTTACTGTGGATTTTGTCTGTGCATGCCGCTCGGGCCCCGCTCTTCCGTAACTATGTTCACGCAGGGGCAACAATCATTAGTCCTGGGTCGGCAGCTGACTTCGGATCTGCTTGTCGGCGTTGTTTTCCCGTCACCCCACCTCCCGCCCGTCCCCGAGCCTCTCCTCTTCTCCAGGCCTCCGCGTAACTGGGGCTGGAGCAGATGTGTCCGAGGGATCGCGCCGCATCGCCGATTCATCGGCGAAACGGCCAGATGGAGAAGAACGGCTTCCAGATCGCGCCGTATCGTCCGACCCCAGCTGCTATGGCCCGATTTGGGAGGCCGTCGTCTCCTGCCCTTACGCCCCCCCCCCCCGATCCCCGGATCTCCGACGACGCGGTTTTTACATGTTTCTGCTTCGCAGTAGAGCTTGTGATGTTTTCCGTGTTCCGCCTCTTCCTCCGTAGTCCCCGAAGAGTTGCCAGTCACGCGCGCTTCTGCTCACGCATCCTGGATGCTTGGCTCTGTGGCAGTGCTGGGCGTCGCGCACTGCAGGGGGACTACATTATAGGGGGGGCAGCGAGGGCTGCAGAAAAGGAGCCCTTATGGGCCGCAGCAGGGGGTCTCTGGGGTCCGGGAAGTGCACCCTCCCTCCTTCCCACTCGATCGCCCCCCCCCATGAAGCGGCGACCAGTGGGTTGGGCCCCCAGCGGTCAAGCGAGACTCCTCCCCCCCCGGGTCAGTTCTTGACGGGCCCGGGGCCCAGTAGTAGGCCCTCCTTTGCCGCCAGGGTGCGACGTGTGTTGAGTGCAGCGATGGACGGACCTTCCGCCTCGCAGCATCTGACTGTTCTGCCCTGTCGGCGCCGATCGGATCTGCCGCCATCGTCGTTTGACGAGGGTCTCAGTTTTTCTGTGTCAGGTTCTTCGACGGCGGGCAAAAAAAAAAGTACTCCAGATTTCGTAATAAAAGGGAGGGGGTCACAATCCTCCCAGACCACAAGTTTTAGACCCCCCCAGACCATCCATGAAAGGGCGGCACTTTGCCCAGATCCCCCCTAACCCTTCATGACAGCTCAAATCAGACCCCCCCGCCAAATGTACCCCCCCTACATTATTATGGAATCCGGAGTAGGCCCTCCTGGTGCTGCGCATGCGGCCAAAGCACGCTCTGACGTCGTCTTGTCCACGACGAGAGGAGGCCTGGGATCGCAGGCGGTTCTTCTCCTCCAGTCCCAGGGCTCCGCCCAGAGAGTGCGGTCGCTCAGAAAACCCAGACCTCCTCGCAATGGGGAAAGATAGCGACGAAAGGTTTTTCGCCATGTTCAGCTTCTCGGGGCCCTTACCAGGCCTCGGGACCAAAAATCGGCTCAGGGGGAAAAACCGGCCCCGGGGAAGGGGCCCAGACTTTCGGGAGAAGTTGCGAGCAAATCACGACATCGTCGGTGGTTTGGGCAAGGGGGCAACCCTGAGATGCACCCCGCGGGGGCTTTCCGGCCGCACCCCCATCGAGGATGGACACCCCCCCATCGTGTATCCCATGGTCGGGCCCCAACTTTTCGGTCCATTCGGACACCTCCCAATCCCTGGGATAGGGGTCGACATAATCATCCCCTGTCAGCTTCTGCCCTCAGGGCGCAAAGGCTTCAGAGGGGGAAAAACACACACGCAGACACAAGGAGGCGAGGAGTCCCGGTAGCACAGGGGAGACTATGGCAAGCCGCGGGCGGCCAAGAGGGGGGTGATGATTGGGGGGGGCGGGAAATCATGGCGGGGGGCATGATATCTCCCCAGATTTCATGGCGTCTTTTCTTATTGTAAAGGCCTCCGGCCGGTGCCGCCGATCCGGGACGATCCCGCT